GCTCGCTAAGGCACAAAACGTGATCTGAACCCGTGGGGGGGGTGAAAACAAATGGGAGGGATGCACGAATGGAATTTCTTCTTTTTTTTTTGAAGATAATGACAATATTGAGCAAATTCACTGCCATGTGTTTTACAAGCAATACCGTGTGGGAATGGAATATTTCCACAATTTTAAAAAGTGATAAGAATATGAAAATATCATTATGCATAAAAAAAATAAAACGTGAATTTGCGCAATGTGAGCAGCGCTAAAATAGAATGCACGTGACTCAAATGGTGGTGGTGAAGCGGCAATGCGTGGAAGGCAGAATGCCCCATGGCCAAGTGCGGCATGCCAAACGCGACACGCAGAACACAGCAATTTAATGCCCCCAAAAAATAACCATATCTGATCAAACGATGTGAACGCTAAAACGAAGGTAGTGACGAGAGGTCAATTATCAAGGGGTGAAAGAATGTTAAAACTAGAGGAAAAATCAACAAGTGATTCCAGAGCGCGAACACATCAACACATGAATTACCGACCAGATAAAAATCAAACAAAGAAGGAGAAATTAGGATGCAAAATTAAGGATGCGAAAAAAAAAGGCGCGAAATAAGGATGTAAAAAAAAGGCGTGAGATAAGGATGCAAAATAAGGATACGATATGAAGGCTTAGTCAAAAGCACGGCAACAAAGTAAGGCAGAATAACTGACGTATGCATACATATATATTTACATCCCCCAATGCATACACGCAAACATTTACTTGCATAGCCGAGCTAGGATATAATACAGAGTACAATTAGGTGCACGAAATTGACAAAGAAGTCAAAATAGCGATTGAGAGAGGGAGGTACTAAGGAATCAACGGCACGAACGGGGACGTAGCAGAGAGTATCGAAGGGTAGCACTAATCGAAACACAGTGAGGAGTACTAGGAGTAACGCAACGAGCCGTACAAACACACACAGACACACGCGGACGCACACAGGAACTGGCACGTTATGGGTGCGCTGACCGGAATAGAAGAGCGAATTATATGATGATAACACTGCATAAGCATTGCTTAAAGTAGTAGGGAAAATATATTCTTCTTCCCTTTTTTGGCATAAGGTCTCTTCCCTTCGATTAATGTTTTTGCATTGTTATATTGGTCAAAATGAGCAGATCAGAGGTAAGGCTGCGAGTTTTTAGACGTACCACTTGGCTCGCGGTTTTGCCAGCTTAGTGTTGTGCATACACTTTTACGTACGGGTGTATACCTACATATGTGTACTTCCCCACGTGTAGCTAGTCGTGCCCCTTTAGGCCTCAATAATAGGTGGCACTATGTTGTCAGGGGCTATGGCTATGCGTGGGACGTAGTTAACCTTTTTTTTTTTTTTTTTTTTTTTTTTTTTTTTTTTTTTTTTTTTTTTTTTTTTTTTTTTTTTTTTTTTTTTTTTTTTTAAACCTTTTTTTTTTTTTTTTTTTTTTTTTTTTTTTTTTTTCTTTTTCATTTTTGCGTCTCGTATTTTCTCCGCATCACCCATTTTTTGATTAATGATAGAGAGATCGCAGAAAATGGATGGAGTTAAATGCAAGCAGCGAGACGAGCGTCCATATGCACCTGCACATGGTTGTGCAGATTCCTTTTTGATGGCTTATCTGTATGTGTCTTTCCCGCACTTAACATTTTGCAGGACTTAGATCCAGAGATGCATGCACTGTTGACGTGCGCATTCGATGAAGGAGTGAAGGTGAAAGGGGCAGTGGAAGTTGGAAAAAGAGCAGTGGAATACTTCCGAGGAGACGAATTTGTAAATTTCCTCTACAGCAAAAGGGACATGCTAAAAGCAAAGTTCCCAAATTTACTGCAAAATAGAACCCTTGCAGATTTGAAAGATATAGAAGAATTTGCAGACACGTTTATACAGAAGAGATTTATATATAAAGCGCAGTATAAGCCAATTAAGGGCATAAACGAGGTCGATGAAAATGGAATGTATAGGAGACCCAAATGGCCAAGAAGATTAATAATGTCTTCGAAGCAGAATTTTGATAGGACAAGTTTTTACATCCTAGTTCATGAAAGGAATAAGAAGTTACAATATTTGATGTTAATTTCGCTGATATCGATAGTGCTAATTTGTTGTATGTTTCCTATTTGGCCCCTGAGATTAAAATTGGCCTTGTGGCACCTATCCGTGGTGTTTATATCGTTAATGTCAGTAATTGTCCTTGTCAGATTGTTTCTCTTCATTTTCTTCTGGTTCTTTGGAGTAGATTATTGGTTATTCCCCAACCTGTTTGATGAAGAATGCAACGTTGTCGAATCATTTACTCCCGTACATCAGTGGATTTACAGAAATGACACGTGGCTTTTAGTCATTGCAAGGATGTTTACGGCTGTTTTGTTAGCCATTGGCATACACCAATTAGGAAAAACTCATTCCATTTCCGACATTGGTAACTTTGCTACACAGTCCTTTATTGATATTATAGAATGGGGTAATAAGAAGTTGGCTGCGTCTCCGGAGAATGTGTCTATGTATAAGTCTTTGGATTCCAAGGCGACGTTCGAGACGGAGTTCCAGGATGACGGCGTGGTGTATGACGAGAACGAGGAGAACTACGACTGCTTGAAGGGGTGCGGCTTCCAGACGTTCGAGGAGCTCGTGCGCAAGTGTTTCCTGAAGTGCGAGTGCATGGAGGTACGGTGCGATGGTGGCGACTGTGGCGGTAGTGTCTGTGGCCACGTTGGATACATTGGTTACGTTTGCCTCTTTCACCGCCTAGCCGCAGCTGCGGATTAAGGCAAAAACGAATTTCGTTCGCCCTTGGGCTTAACGAAATTTCTCCCTGTCTGATACTTTTCCGGGTGCATTTTTGATCCCCTCCTGTATTGCGCGGTGCACTCCTTTATTTTTATTTTTTATTTTTTCCCCATTTTAGAAAGTTATAAAGTCGGAGTGCTACAAGAAAAAGTGCTCACGGGTTACCAAGGAAGTTTTGGATGAAGCACACAAAGAAGCTTGCTTTGGGAAGAAGGACAAATAGGCATGTAGGGTGGAGCGAGACAGGAATGGCTCAACATGTTGGCATCCGTACATCGTGTCGAAATTGTTATTGGCCTGAATTTATCTGACCTGTGGTGCAGTGTCCGTGTGTGTACTACCCCCAGCACGGGCCAGTAGCCCCTCCAGTCATTCTCCAGGAACCATTTTTTTTAACAGTTTTTCATAAGCAGTTTTACGAAGTAGTATTTCCCCCTCATTATGAATTAATCTGATTTTATATTTGATTCATTTCGGTACATTTTGTTGTAGCTATTTCGCCTTATCTCGCCCCATTTCGCCCTGTTTCGCCCTTTTTCACTCTTTTTTTTCGGCAGAGTAGTTGTTTATATCCCCTTTGAATCCTTCCACGTTGTAATAAATTGCACCTTTACTGTCACTTTATTCTTTCGGATTATTACATGAAGAGTTCTTATAAATGTTAATTTTTCGTATTTTAAAATGTATTACACGGGAAAAGAAAAAAATTATATATACTTTTTTTTTTTGATGGCATTTGTGTTATTTTTTTTTTTTTTTAATAAATTTTTAAAGGTTTTTAAAAACGTATGATTAGGTTTTAATCGTATCAGCTTTTTACGGGAGATGATACCCTCTGGGTTATATTTTTTTATGCGTATCTTTACATTACATCATTTTTTTCCTCTTTTTGGAATGGCTCACCAGGGGGAGGTGTAAATATGGAGTGGGCACGATGTGCATAAAATGATTTTAGCCTACATCCATATTTGCATTCAGCCCATATGAGTGAGTCCACATGGATCGACACAGAGTGCGTGCTTCTATAAGGAACAGAACCATGTGAATGTTTAAAAAAAAGTGAAAATTTGTTTAAAAAAACGAAGAACAAGAATGCTCAATTAAGGTGCCCCTACCGTAATACGTGAACTGGAGGGAAACTCCCAACATTAGCAAACTTCATCCCATGTCCGAGTACACGGACAAAAGCACAGCAGCAGCAAAACATTATTGAGCAGTTCTACCGATATATTTAATTTAAAAAGAAAAGAAAAGAGGAGAAACCAAATTGGATACGATGAAGCTGCCCAGAGAAGTTGTTTTTCAAGTGGCGAAAGGGTTTAGAGGGAGGAGCAAGGGATGTTTTAAAATTGCGAGGAGCAGGGCCATGAAGGCGTTGCTGCATTCGTACATTATGCGACGCCAACGGTATAGGAGGCTACGGGTACGTTGAGGTGCATGAAATGGAGAAGTGGGGGATACGCCAACGGCGGAGGGGGTTACAAAGAGGCGTTCCCTTAAATACGAACCGGCTTCCCATGCAGTGTGTACACACCTACGCAGATGGGCATGCCTGTAGAGCAGCCCTGTGTGCATTCCGTTCTGCCAGGAAAAATTCTTCCCCACTGCTTCTTTTCACCGCTTCTTTTCACCGCTTCTTCTCACCGCTTCTTCTAACCTCTTCTTCTCATCGCTTCTTCCCCCCTTCAGGTTCACTGGATAGCCAGCATAAACAGGGCCTGCAGAGAGTGGAACTTCACATACGCTCATTTTATGAACAGCCTGCTGAACAACAACATCATGCTAAATAGGAAGAGCTTGTACAGCCTGGCCTACACGGAGCCGATAAGCTTCAAATGCCTAGTGGACGAATCGAAGTATGTCTTTTTTCAGAGGAAGCTTAAGTTTAGGGACATCTCGCAGTTATGAGTGGCACGGTAAAGTAAACCTCTGGCTGGGATGCCCTTTGGGGGCCTTGGGCGAACGTTGAAACGGGTGCAAACCGTGGGAAAGGAATAGCTGAAGTGATTACAGCGCAGGGGTGTGAATTATTCAAAATTGTTGCAGAAGAAATGTTGCTTAATTGTGAGAAAACAAAAAAAAAAAAAAAAAGGAAAACTTTACAATTCGGATCGTAACAGGCTAGAGGTACATCCCGCCACTGCAAGTTACGTGCGAATGTTTAGGCCATTTCCGCAGCCACACCCCCCACACGCTCAATCAGAAGGAACTAAAAAATTCAATAGCATAATTAACACTGCCATGAAGGTAGCCAGCATACATCTTAATCTGATCAGTGTTGTATTGCAAACGGGTGTCCGAATTATCGCTTTGGCTACTAAAGGAGGAGGGAAAAAATTTGCTCAGGGAACCCTGAAACTCATTTTGAAGGATGGAAGAACACAAATTGTTGACTTGATAATTATAATTTTTTGGAGTGTTGAAAAAAAAATAAAAGTGCATATTATCTTTCTCGAAGTTGATCCCTTTTTGTTCGTCATCTACTAACGCATGGGGGGAAAGATCTTTATTGTCCTTTTTGGTGATGCCATCATGCGAAAAATGCCGTGCTTTGTTTTGGACTGTCTCCGAAGAAACTTCCCCTGTTTGTCTGGCTTCCGAACCTTGTTGAGCGGTCCCCGTGTTAGAGATTTTCGCTTTCCTTTTGTCCCGAAGTAGTTTCAAATAGTCTGCTAGGAACAGATCGTATTTAAAAAATTCCTTGTGGAAGTAGTGGTACTCCTTTATGTAAAGGCATAAGTAGAATTTGTGCAGTGCATGTATGTTAATCGTGAGGGGGTGAATAAATATAAGGTACTTTATCAATTTCATTGATTGGTCAAACTGTTTTAATTCGTTTTTTATTTTTCTATACAGATTTTTAAATTGCACGACGAGGTTGTCTTTCTCCTTGTTATGCTGAATGGTGATGTATTTATTGACATCATTATTGTTCATGATTTTAATCATTTCGGTGACGATAACGAGAAGCTCTGCGTACAGGTAGAAGTACTTGTTATGTTTGTCCCTTTTGGCATTTTCATTTTTGCTGTTTTCATGCTGGTTTATCTTCATTCCTCGGAATGCACTCCATTCTAAGTTGCAACTTTTGAAGTATTCATATATCTCGTTGAGGACGTATATGAAAACGAAGTATATGTTTAAGTCACCAGAAATGCACAGGATGCATTTTTTGAAAGAGTTTTTATTTTTTAGCAATAGCAGGTAGAGGTGTAAAATGGAGAACTTGATTAGGAGTAATATTTCTTTGCTTCTTTTGATTTTACTGTTTTGCAAGAATATCAAGTTAAACCATATGTTGTCATTTTTTTCGAAACTGAATAGCAATGTTATTATTCTCTCGTCCGAGGAAGAGTTGATAAAGCATGAATTAAAAAATAGGATTATATAGTACGTCGTCAGGAGACAAGGATCCTTCTTCTTGATGTATTTAACTAATACATTAGCGAGCTTTAAAATTTCGTTTTTGTTATCTATAAAAATCATTTGGTAACTAAATAACTGGAGAATCAGACAGATTAGGTGGCTGCTCTGTTCAATTTCCACCTTTGATTTGTTCACGTTATTACCAAGGTTGTTCATAACGTAGTTAATTAGAAAGTGCAGAAATTTGCTCCTACAAAATTCGCTGCTCAACCTTTTAATGCAGAGGAAGTAGGTTATTTCTCCCTTGTCTTGTCTTTTCTTTCTTCTCAAGCTGTCAATAAGCTGTGTAGTTATGTCTACCTGTGGGGGGTCCTTTTCTGGGGTGAGACATGTCCCCCTTTCGTGGTTCACCGCGCTAAGCGCATTATCATATAGGGAAAAGTCAAAGAAGTACGAGTTCGTTATGGTCAGATAAAATTTCAAGATAACGGAGCAGTGGTAGGTGCCCTTTTTATTGTCCATGAGCTCCTTCAAGTGACTGTTCAGTATGTCCAAGCAATTTAGCATGTTCGAGCAAAACTTGTACAGTGTTGCTACGTCATATAGAATAAAACAAGACACAAAATTGAAAAAGTAGTTTATGTACATGTAGGAGAGATACCCAATTTCTTTATCTACCTGTGAGATGCCTTTTTCGTTGAAAACATTTATTTCACTTTTGTTATTGCTGTTCAGGTAGAAATGGAATGAGTTCCAAACAGATTCTACAACATTTTTGTCCGTCAAGTATGCAAGCTTCCCCAGGAGGGCCGATATATATTTGTATTTAAACATTAGCGAGGAGACGTTGCTATATGTTTGTATTATTCTGAAGCAGTTTATGGTGTACAGGAATAGCAGCTTTTTGTTTCTTTTCAGCTTTTGCACTACTGTGCTAATTAGTCTTATGTCCGGTTCGGCCCCTTGCCCCGGGTCGCCTGCTCTGTTTTTGGTTCCGCGGGGGGGATCCTCCCCAGGGAGGCAGGTCTCGGCGTAGAGCGAATCTTTAGCGTGCGCATATTTATCGTGTGAATCCTGATCGTGTGAGTCTTCTCCGTGTTTCTTTTCTCCCAGTTTTGCGTCTCCCCGCGTTGCCTCCCCTGTTTGTGTTGCCTTTCCTTTTTGCGTTTCCCCCCTCTTTTTGCGTCCCTCTTCCCTTATCCTGGCCAGGGCCATACTCTCGCGAGAACACTTCACATTTTTCTGGTGAGAGGAACATATTTTCCCCTCGCGGTGGCTGTTGCCACCCTGGACAGTGGTCTCCTGGGATGAGCTGCCCCCCGTCGGGTTTTTCAAGTACCGATTTATTCGGCATAGAGACTGCCCAGGTAGCTGCGTTTTTTTCCTTTTCAGGTTAGCCGTTTTCACCATTTGCACGTACTTCAAATGAATGTTCAGGAGGTCCGAATTGTATAAGGTGGCGAAATGTTCCAAGATATGTCTGGCAATTTGCATGAGGATGTTTTCCTTTATTTCGTAATTGAATGAGTAGTAATCGTAAAAGAATAAAAGGAAGAATAAGACAATATTGGTGGTAATTTTGTTTAAAAATACTTTATCATTTTTTTTAAAATCTAGATGAAGAGGTTCTGGCCTGTCACTTTGGTCATTTTCCTCATAACCGGAAGGCACCATCCGATTTAGTAATTTTTCTTCGTCTCTGCTTCCACCTTCTCTTTTGTCATTGTATTTATTATCATTTATAATGTACAAAATGAATAAGTAGATATTGTTATTGTGAAAAATGTTGCGAACAACTACATTTTTTATATTTTGGTCGGTGTAATTTTCTAAGTTTTTGTTCCAATTCTTTTTTTTCATGCTTATTAAAGTATTGTAAAGAGTCTCCACTGATGTGTTGTCTGCTTTGATGGGTGTGCTAATTGTTTTCCCGCCATTTAGGCCCACCCGTCTGCTATCCACATATATGATGTTTTGAAAAAAGGAGGGCAGGGTGAGGACATTTTTTATTTGAGTGAAAAAAATTTTGTAAAGTTCGTTCAAGTATATGTATATGTAGGAGACGAATATATACAACAAGTTATGTATCATGACTTCATTTTTTTTTTTTTTTTTATTTATTTGTTGCTTGTTTTTTAAAACATATTTCAAATAGTGCTGTATCATTTGGTTGAATTCTGGGAAGAAGTTCTCATTTTGGGACAGCAACAAGGCTAGGAAGTTTCGGTCCTTGAAGCACATGCTGACGATGAGGATATAGTAGTAAATTTTGTCATATATCAGTTCCAAGTCGTTTTTTTTCTTCTTTTGAACTAAGAAGTAGTTGAGGAAATGATTTAGATAAAAGTGATTATCATGGCTTATGTTTTGCGTGAATATCGGACTTCCGTCGTCGTGGAGGTGGTGAGTACCTCCCTCGTTGTCAGAGATAAGTCTCCCGATTTGTTTTCCCCATTTCTTGCTATCATTGTCTTGCTCCTTTTTGTTTTCACTGCTATTTGTGAGGTTGATCGATTGGTTCTCCGTTACACCTGACGTAGCCATTCCTACAGCTGTCTTGGCGGTCTTCCCATCCTGGCCAGCCGATTCAAGTTTTCTGTTGTAAAAATATATTTTGTACTTTTGCAAGTTGTTCATTGTTTCCCTTTCATTGCAGAATAACAATTTTAGGAATATTTTAAAAAAGTACTTCTCAAACAGTTTGGCTTCTTTTAAAATGTAGAAATTGATGTAGATGTTTTTTTTTCCCAAGTTGTGGAAAATACGTTCGCATAAAATTGTGATGTTATCTTTCGGATTGTCCTTCCGACTTTTCGATTCTGCAGAATGGTTGACGTTCCCATTTAGGCAGAAAAAAAAAGGGAAGTTGTCTAAGAAAAAGCTCAGAAATAGTACAATGGAGAGGAATAGAATTTTGGTTTCTTCACATTGAGGACAGTACATATCAATCATGCAGACGTAGTTGGAGTTAGCCACTTGATTCTGTTGATGTTCGTAGATTCTTCTTTTGATAGAGTCATCTTCTTCATCATAGTGATCACTTGGATTGGTATCTGCTTCGTCCTGATCGATGGCAACACAATTTTTAAACTTCCTTATCGTGTACTCGTAAAACAATTGGCAGTAATTTTTGTAAATATCTTCCTCCTTCAGCAGGTAGTTATGTTTGTTGATCATCTCGTTCTGTTGATCTATACTGGTGTCTTTGTTCTTTCCCACTGTAACATTTTTCCCCCCATTAAAAGGGATATACACATCTTCACAGATACGAATATTCTGCATATATATTGCATATTTTAAAATGACAAAATAGGTCTTTTTTAAAAATTTGCACACTCCCTTGTCCGCTTTGTAGTATTTCAGAAAATGCACTAAGATATGTTGCTTTGAGCTGCGGGAGTCTTTAAAAAAATGATGCTTCCACATTTCGTATTTTAATACTTGGAGGATATACTTGAAAAAAAGGAGTAGGAGCTGGACATGCAAACATTCGATAATGATGTCGTTGTACATGTTGCAGAAGTTGATCAGCGTGCTCATGTATTTGTTTAGGAAGACTTGTTTGAAGATGCGCAAGTTTGTCCTTCCTTTGGGGTATGTCTCAACATTGTTGTTTTGGGTATTATGTGTGTCGATTCGTGGCTGGGTCGTATTATCCCCATCTTCGTTCTCTTCTAAGCGAGCTTCCAAAGTAGCTTCTAACCTCGTTTGGAAGTCTCCCCTTCCCTGCGTGAAAGCCACGCAATGATGGTGCATTAGCACGTCCATTCTTATGCATGATATGTCTTCATTGACCAAGTGAAGGTCAAAGAAATAACCTCGCCTCAAAACTACGTGAAGCATGGACAAAATGTTTTTCACAAAGTAAATGTCCAATTTGAGATATTCCTGTTCGTGGTTTTGAAATGTGACATTCTCTACATTGATGGTCTTCTCGATTTCGTACACATTTATTATATTGGAGTAGACGTTGCTGTCTGTGTTTGTCTGAGTTGACTCTCCTTTGTTAATTTTTTTTTTTTTTCTATATTTCGAAAGTATGAAGAAAAGAAAGTTGACCAGAATGGACAAGTTTTTCCTTCTCTCCATTCGCTTATTTCTGATGCGTCGCTGCTGTTTGAGCAGGATGGGGTTCCCCCCTTCTGCGTCGAGGAAGTTGAAGTTGCTATCATCAAGGAGGTCGCTTCTAACTGTAGGGTTCGTACATCCTAGCCGATCAGCACTAATGGCGAGATTATCATGGCAGTTATTCTTTATCCTCACGTAGTAATCATCCAGATGCACAAAATTGTAAAGCAAGTTGAGAGAAAAGCTGGAAATTTTATTCTTCAAAGATGATGTTGCAACTGATATGAACAGCAATTTGTAGACGAAAAGGGAAAGGTCTATATCATTGTCTAGGTGGTGGATTTTTCCTTCTATGTGTCTTTTTTTCTTTCCTAGAATTAATTGTATGTAGAGGCATACATCGAAGAGGGTTATTAAATGTTTCAACAACAGCATGTTCGAATGAATGATGGCATTTACGCTTGTTTCATTCCCCACATTGTTCGGCCCAGCTTCCTTCTTCTTATTTATTGTCAACTGGTTGTACATGAAAAAAAGAAGCTTGTTAATATACGGAAAAATGGTGGCGTAAACGAAATGTATGGCACTCACCATTTCATCGTAGTCACTTTGGAGAAGATAATGTGTCTGTTTGTTTGGGATGCCTGTTGCCTTCGAATTGGCGCCATTATTCTTTTCTGTTGGTCCATTTGGAGTACTTTCTCTGCTTGGAGATGCGGCTTGAACAGCATCTCGTTTGGCTGATTCGTCGCCTGTTGCGTAGCTCGCTTGGTTGCATGCGGTCAGCCCCTCTGCAGAATGGGCTTTCCCCCCTTCGGTGCACAGCAGCTGCATGTAGCAGTTGTTCAAGTAGAAAAATAACTCGCTCAAATTGTAGATGTAAGAAAAGTTGGTTTCCTTATCTGCAGAGTTGTTTATAGGTGGAAGGACTTTTAACATTTTTATCAAATTGGAAACGTAGGAGGACCCATTTTCGGAAGTGCTCTTTATATCCACTTTGGCATTTAAAAAAAGAAAAGAATTTACATTCGCAATAGGAAATCTGGAAGTCTCTAATTTATCATTCGATTCGATGATGCTGCTCCAAATAGACTGGTTGCTACTTTTGTGGGTCAAAGGATGTGAGGCAGTTCTACCTGGTACAGTTCCAACTGGTACACTGCCAACTGGTACACATCCAACTGGTGCACTTCCAAATGGTGCACTTCCAACGGGTGCAGTGCTATATGGTACACTTCCAACTGACACACTGCTCACCCTTTTTAACAAATGATAATACTTATTAATGAACAGGAAGTATGATCTGAATATATTACCCCCGTTGTAGTTCCCGTGAAAGGATAAGTCCTTTGCCTTCAGATTTAATTTGGCGTCATGGAACGCATGCAGGTAGGAATATTTGGTGGAGAAGAAAAAAAAAGACTTTAACTTTTTAACATTTAGCAGAAAATTATTTGGCTGAAGTTTTTTATAAAGCCAAAAGGGAAGGAAGAAAAGGATTTTTTTCTCTATATGAAATGAGGCCTTGTTTACATCGTCCATATGGTTGGGCTCCATTTCGTTATCAATATATTTATTCCTGCTTGTGTTTTTTCTGTTGTGACTATTTCTGTGCAGATCAAAAAAAAAGTTTTCATATTTTTTAGATTTCTTCCAATGGAGTATATCTTCTCCATCTCCACACCTGTTAATGACACTTTTGCGACCCTCTTTGTAGTACCCCTCCATATATTCTACCTTTACTTCGTTAATTAAAGAATTCTCTAACATGTTCGTGCAGCTGTGATGAGGCGAGTTTATTTCTTCAGTTAACCAATGAGAAGAGTAGTCATCCCTTTCTAAGCTCATTTCCCCCTTTCTACTTTTCTGTTCTTCTAGCAAATGAGGTTCAAGAAATAACCTGTGCTTGTTGAGTAGCAAGACGTTCTGGTCGAATATCAAGTAGAAACTCAAGCTGATGGACAAAGCTTTGACAATCTCATTATCGTAAAAGAAGAAGCAAAACAAGTGGGACAGATAAAAGTAGCGCTCTTTGTATATTCTTTTGCATATGCTGCTATTCCTATAGTTCGTGATGATCAACAAAATTAGTATTTTTAGGACATAGACAAACGATTCAATGCTGTATGTACTGGTTTTTTCCTTGGCTAACATTTCCCCTATCAGTTTTGTGTACAAACTTTTTATTTTTTCGTAAATTAAGAGAAGGAAATGATCCATGTGGGTTGGATCCCCCCTTTGGGTTTTACTTTCTGTAGTGTTCTCAACGCAACTGTCACCTTCTCTAAATTTTGCCTTTCTCTTCAAAATAAATGACATTATGTGTTCGAAAAAGTCCAGGGAAAGTTCCTCCGTCTTCATGTCTACTTTCTGTAGCGCTTGAAGGATAACCTCTTCATCGCTAAGAATATGATTAAGTACAAAATGGCTTATGTACATGTTTAACATATTGGTGTTAAATTTCCAGTCGTTTGAGTAGCTAAAGGTGTTATGGCACTGGTTCTGGTGGTTTTGGGTTTCTGGAGGGGGTTCACGTCGGTGGCTTCTCATAGGGTCTTCCTTGTTCCTCCACGTGGTTTCTCTTTCTTCGCAAATGTTATATTGTCTCGCTTCGATCCCACTTTGCATTTCCCCCCGTTTCATCGTAATGTTTTGTGAGGCATGTTTCTTCGTGCTACCCCAGCACTTGGTGAACTTTAGCCTAAACTGGTGATGCAATTTCCACATTATTTTAAGGGAAAGGGTCCTCTTTTTCTTCTTCCTTTGAAAAAGCAAGAAATATATACTGTGCACATTTAGGAAAACGTTGTTGTAGAAGTAGGCGAGGCGAGTCAGCGCTTCCTCTTCAGTTTGGTGTTTCCCGCCCCTGCCACGGGGAACTTCGCCGCTGTTGTTGCCATTGCTGTGGTTGCCCTTATCACCGTTGCTACCCGCAAGGAGTGGCTCAAAATGGTGGTCATACAAAAAGTTGAACGAGCTGTAAGCGGCCTGGTCTAGCAAGAGTATGTACTTCTTTTTAGAGTAGTACAAAAAAAGGAGGACTTTGGAGAAAAGTTTAATATTTGACAAGAGCCTCTTTTTTTCCTTCCGTTCCTTGTCATTAAGGGAATCATACAGGGTCTCCACTTTTTTCTTGACATTTTCGAGTATAAAAAAGAGATAATAATTTCTTATTTCCTTTTTGCTATATACACACAGTTCGTATATGACGTCAACGAATTCGTTGATTTGTAAAGTGGGGGTGTAGAAATGTGGAGATTTTCTTTTTGTCTTCCCTCCGTGGTGAGTGGATCTCCAACGCATGTCATTATTCGAGCAATGGTTCAGATTGAGTTGATTGTTCCTATCAAATTTGGAGTTCACCGTTTGGGAGGCTTCCCACTTGGTTGGTTGGTGCTGGTCCAATTGGCCCACATTTTTGCAGGCATATTCTTGAGAGGTGTCTGTCCCTAGTAAATTATTTCCCTTTTCTTCACCGAAATGATTTTCCTGCTCATTTTGAGGATGGTGATCTCTCTTTTGAGAAAAGATAGGGGTAATGTACTGAGTGTCTTGATACGCCTTGGGATGTTCGGGTTGGTTTGACTCTATATGGCTGTAGGTTACGCTGTGGTGATTATTTTGGCCCATTAGGTCATTCTGTGAATGGGTAGAATTTCCCATGTGTGCACTTTTGGAGACGTTTCCGCTTTCCATGGGATTGGCAGAAATGGCATTATGATGGAGCTCTCCATAGGAGAAGTCCCCCCCTTGGTTCCCCCAGCCCCTCTGGTAGTTGTAATTCCCGACAGAGGCGTAAACCCCTTGGGGATCCCCTCTTAGGTCATTATTTTCCCAGTGAAAAGACCCCTTTGCATAATTAATGTTAAAAATAAAATTAAAAAAAAAAAAAATAAAAAAAAAAAAAATAATTTCCGTATTGTAGCTATACATGATCGAAATGATGTTGTGAAGGAGGACGACGAAGTTTTTAAACAGTTCGACGAACTTGACATTTTCTGGGACATTCGTTCTACCTTCCAAATTGTGATTAAACGTTAGTATGTACATTTTATTTTTGCAGCTCTTTAACTTGTTAACAATGAATTGGTACATGGATCCGTTTTCTTGTTTATAGGACTTGACATAATTTGTGAAGTTGTTATATTCAGAGGATAGAAGCGACAGGGAATTAAAGAGCATTCTGAGGCTGTTTTCAACCAGCACTTGAGTAACTTTGTCAATAAACTGGGCATCGAAGTGGGGGATGTCCCCTTGGGCGCCGCGACCTGAGAGAGACTCCTGATGTGTGAAATTGTCCATTTGATTTTTGCACCGTTCGTTTTCGCGCAGTTCCTTTTTGAGCGGCTCGTTTTTGAAGTCCCCCCCTATTTGTAGCAAAACATGGCAGAATTGCTTTATGCAGTGTGATGCCGCACTTTCATGTCTACTGTGTGCATCTATCGTTCTGCTGATTTTCTCCGAATTGGGGGCATCGAAAAAGTCTTTCGACTTGAATGTGTCTAGGGGCTCGAGAAATGGCTCATTATTTGCGTCGGCCGGACTTGAGAACATTTCGTTGGCATCTGGGGTGGATAGGTTTGCTGCGGCGTTTGCTGCGTGGTATTTTTCAAGAAAACTGTTGAGGGCGGAGTAACTAGTTGGGACGAAGAAAAAAAAGTGAGAGATGTTAATGCTGGTGTTTATGAAGGTGGAGATGTCTGACCGGAAGGCGGCTCCGCCAAAGCAGCTAGTCCCCCCCACATCGCCAATATCGCCAACACCGCGATAGACGAAAAACAAATTCGCCAAGGAGTAAAAATAACACAGGAGGTCGATATATTCCTTATAAATTTCGTAGTCATAAAAGAAGAAAAAAATTTTGAAAAAGTGCAACAATTCTAAGTGGTGCGTGTTTAGGTGCATGTCGAAGAGGAACCGTCTAAACAGGTCGACTAATTTTGGTTGTATCTTCTTCATCAAAATGAATGACACGGGGGTGTAGTTTATATAGAGGCAGACGATTTTCAGGAGCTCCAATTGTTTAGGGCTGTATTGGTAAGTACGCCGAGCGGAAATATTAGTAAAGATATCAATGCTTTGAAATTTGTTTTTTTTTAAATCGCTAGAGGAGTTGGAAGAGGAGGAAGAGAAACTGTTCAACTCATGGATGATTAAATTTTCTGAAAGGTACTCCCTGACGGGGACTCCATTTTGTTTTGCCTTTTTATCTCCACGCCCATGCAGGTTGTTCTTTTCAATGTAGTCAATGACGATCTCCAAGTGTGAGTCTTTCTTCTTATCTGACTCGCCAAAGTAATATTCTAAGATGTTACACAGGAAATTGTAAATGATGACAAAATTGTCTATGTGGAAGTTGAGCGTAGTGCATTTTTCCCTTATGGTGCTAATTTTGCAGTGCGAAAATTTTAAAATCTCTAGCATGAAGAAAATTAACACTTTGAAAAAATAGACGCAGTTATTTTTCGTTATGAATAAGTAGTAGTACGTGTCGCCCTCGTTGAAATGAGCAGTGGTGCTGTTCCCCGGTTTGCGAATCGCCCTCTCTTCGTTTTTCCTTAGGTAAAATGTGTTTATGCTATTGAGGTCATCTGTGTTGTTTGTTCCGTTTGACCCGTTGGTCCCGTTTGTCTTGCTTGGGTTGTTTGCCGATTGGGGGGGGTCCTTCCCCTTTTCACTGGCCATCTTGTCCCTATTATGGCCATACTTGAACTCTTTACCGATTTGATTTCCCCCAAGCGAGTCGCAGCCTTTTCCCCCTTTTCGAAGCAAAAGTAAGTAGAACACATTTTGGTTAATGAGGAAAAAGAAGTTGTTCAGGTAGATATTGTGGATGCTGTTGCAAAAGCACCCCCCCCTCTGGGTTACACTTATATAAAGGCTATAAATAATTAGAAAAATAAGATAAGCTAGACTATTTAGAAGGTTGTTCATATGATGGAATTCACTTTCTGCCTGATTATTTTCGACGTAATTTTTGTAAATATAGTGAATATTGTAACTAAGAGTGTACACAAATTTATAGTTAAATAGAAATAGGTCTTTATTGAAAATGTAAATATATTCATTTAAAATTTTGTTCACTTCTTTGTGCATATAAACGAGGTCGTCTATGCTTATTATTTTTTTGATTATGTTCATCCCTAAGAATTCGAAGTAGTTGAACTTCATGCTTAGGTAGAAATGCAGCAGGTTCATTTTGTTAATGTAATTTTTCATTTTGTACGTTATGTTTTTGTCATACACGTGGTTATTATTTAGGTAGGTGAAATACGCCACGAGGGAATCTTCCCCTTCATTGCTTCTATCCTGTTTGTTTTTCCCCGCATCCCCCTTTATGAGGTCTCCCCGTTCAACCGCCTCTTCTGCATGTTCTACTCCGTTTATGTCTAGAAGGTTCCTTCTGAAAACATCAAAGCAATCGAAGAAGTTGTATAGGTAGAAAAATGTGTAGTTCTTCAAAATATCTGTGTAATAGCATTCGTCACAATTGTAATAGCTTTGCGTAGTTCCCCGTGTAGGTACCGATCCGTGGTTGAGGTAAGCATGCCCTTCCCTTATTTTGTTGGCCTTATATATCTTATAGGTCAGGAGCAAATATATACTCCGTTTATTCACTTCGTTTTTTGCTTCATACAAAGAGTTGTAATATTCAAAATCGTCACTTTTGGAAAAATTATCTTTTGTAAATATGTTTATGCAGTTATTTTTTTTCATTATTTGGCTTATATTTAGGAGATCCTTTTGTGAAAGTGTGCTATCTGCATTGTTGTGCGATGTTGCGGTGGTTTTTTTTGTGTTTTCCTTTGCCTTCTCAGCAGAGTGTTGCCTCAGTCGAGGGTGAATTCTTGTCCGCTCATCGACGGAAGAGGTTTTTTTTCGTGTAGCTTTGTATTGGCCTTCCTCTTTATTTACGTCCATCATGTCGATTATCTTTTCGGTTACGTTGTTTTTGTACTGGGGAGTTTCCTGTGCGTCTTCCTCTCCGATGTTTCCCGGTGATTCTGCCTCCCCATTTTTGTTCGCCCCATTTGGATTAGTTAGATCATCGGAGGCATTATTTGCATCAGACTTAGGCGCATATTCTTGAGTGTCCCATTTTGAGAAGTCGTCTGGGTTGTCCCCATTGTATGCACGAATCAGCTGGATCAGAATTTTCACCACCTGGTTGTATTCATTGTTACTGTTCTGCATTTGTATGTGATCATAGCTGATTAGGCACGTATCTGTGTCCTGTGCAACATTTAATTTTTTGGTGGCACTATTCTTTTTGTACCTGTCTTGGTTATCTCTAAAGTGGGTTAAAAACTCCTTGGTGAATGTGTGTATTCCGAATTGTTCGAATTTTCTTTTGACCTCTTCATCCTTCTGCGTGGCAGTGTGGTAGAGAGGGTGTGAGCGAGCATCGGAGCGGCTAAGCTGCTTTTCGCATGAATGGTGCAGACTGTGTGTGTTTGAAAGATGCACAAAGAAGCGAAGTGCGACAGACAAGACGGCGAATTAAACGCACTAATGAATGGTGTTACGGCACAGAAAGGGGCGGGATACATATGCTAGCCTTGTATGTAACACACTTATACACTACTGCATCTGTGAGAAGAAGCAAAACTGCTACGCAGGGAAGAAGTGACCATGCTGCTCAACTTATTCTTTTGCACAAAGGAGGTGAACATTTTTTTACCTCTATTATGCACCGAACGAAGTCCAAAACGTGGATCAGCGCTTTCAAAGGAATGGAGCTGTTTCTATCGTTAATGTAGCGAAGAATAATATCAAAAAAATAATTTCTTTTCTTAAAGTCCGTTTCTCTTATTATACTTTTTTCATATTTTTGTATTAGCATAATCATTGACCTGTCTCGGATGTCATCTATGGTGTGCCCTAAAGTGGAAGCAGTGCAGAAAGTTTGCCGTTGTGTGTTCTTTCTATGTGATCATTTTTGTAATTCTAGCGGGGGCGGACGTGCAGGTGCAGGCGTAGGCGCTGTTTTGCCATTCGTGATGAGACAAGAAAATTGGCACATTTTTCGGGGACACTACATTGTGTGTACTTTTTATGTGCACGGTAATT